CTCCCTGAGGGTTGGTTCCTGGGGCCAATGCAGCAAAGTGCCACAAAGTGAGCGGTTTGAACAACAGATTGATGGTCTCCCAGCTCTGGAGGCTAGATGTCTGAGATTGCGGCGTCCGCGGACCCGGTTCCTTCAGACAGTCCCTTTTCACAAGGACACCAGTCCTACAGGGTTAGGGGCCCTCCTCCTCCTGTAGGGCCTCATCTTCACTAATTACATCTGCAGTGAATGACCCTGTTTCTAGACAAGGTCCTGTCCATAGACGCCTGGGGGTTGGGACTCCAGCATGTGAGTCCGAGGGGAAGGCAATTCAACCCACAACACCCTGCTTGTGAGTTTCTATTTTCAGCCCCCAAATGCGCAGGCCGGCTAGCAGGGCCCCGCCTCGGAGGCCCCCTCTGCCATCAATGAGGGGTGCCTGAAGCCAGCCTCTCCTCCCTGTGGAAGCCAGAGCCAAGAGGGACACCCTGCTCCCTTCATGAGGAAAAGTCTCAGGATTCCTTGTAAGATGAGGAGCTCCCGTGTCACGTGGCCGGTGCAGACCGTGGAGCGTGTGACTCTTGAGCCTAGCGTCCAGAGTTCAAGCCCCATGGTGGGTACAGAGATTACTTAACTAAATCAACTTTTTAAAAAATGGGGCATTCCCTCTCCAAACCCAGATCTGAAGATGCTGCTTCTTTGATTCTGCCCTATATTGGGGTAAATACTAGACAAGGTACGGTGGGAAGCCAGATTGGGTTGTTATTGTCCCCAAGGACTGACTGACAAACACCCATGGTCATTTAATGCAGAACTCTAAGAAGTTCCCTAAAATGGGAGGAGTCAGCTCCCCTACCCCCACCCACCCCACCCCAGGCCTGGGCTCAAGTGACACATTTCTCTCAGTTGGCACCTGGGGGAATGGGATCATCTCAGGCAGGAGCAGGATTGACGGCTTCCAGGCCACTGCGGACATGATTTGTTTGAGGGCTGAGCCCTACATCCATCCCATCTGGCCACCAAGCGAAGGCAAACTTCCAAGGGGAGCCCAGCCAGCGCTCCGCACCAGTTTCCTCCTGGGCCCAAGAGGTCTGCTTTTCATTGATGAAAACATGTTCTTGATTGTTCTTGATTGCACAGGGATGACTTTCAGCGCGTGTAGGCGCCCTGCTCCCTGCTCCCCTCTCCTTCCCAGCGAGGCCTCCTGTGCTCCCTGCAGCGACACCTGGAGGACGTTTCTGGCATCGCTGGTAGTTTCTGGCAGCCAGACCCAGCAAAGGGCTTCTAGAAGGAGGGCTGAGAAAATGTGTTATAAGAAATACACCCAAGAGGGGCACCTGGGTGGCTCAGTGGGTTAAAGCCTCTGCCTTTGGCTCAGGTCATGGTCTCAGGGTCATGGGATCGAGCCCTGCATCGGGTTCTCTCTGCTCAGCAGGGAGCCTGCTTCCCCCTCTCTCTCTGCCTGCCTCTCTACTTGTATTCTCTCTGTGTCAAATAAATAAATAAAATCTTTAAAAAAAAAAAAAAAGAAAAGAAATACACCCAAGAACAAGGCCAAACAGTGATATGTCAGGAAACATAGTCTGACCCATTCACCATGGGTCAGCAGGTCAGCAACGCACGCCCCGGAGTCTGATGGCTTGGGTATGGCATCAGCTTCACTCCCCTGCCAGCCCTGTGACCCTGAGGGGTTCCTGAACATCTCAGCTATCTCATGTCTACAATAAAAATAACCCTGCTCGGGTCACACACTGCAGATGAGGCTTACATGAGATAATCAGCACAAAATTATTGGTAATTTCTTGTTGCCCCAGGGCCAGACACTCACAAACCTGTGCTACCAAATTAGTTCATCCAACAAACACATGCTGAATATCCACTGTATGCCAGACACCAATGTCCAAAGAGAAAGGAAGAGGCACAAACATCTAGAAGGTTCCAGAATGTTCTCTTGTCACGGAGCATCTGTTTCTCTCCAAAACTCACTGCTGTGGGCAACATCCATGGCCCACGTAGAAATAGAGCTTCCCTTTGATCCAGCTCAAGATTTCCAACTTTCTAATCTCTCTCCAAAAGTAAAGCCTGAACGGACACCGAGTTGCCACCTCCCTTTGAATCATGCAGCCACCGGCACAGAAAACATAAAAATTCATTGGAGATTTTTCTTCAGATCCACACTTCGCTTGCTGTGTAAGCTGTTGGGATTTTGCAACAGTATTTAGAAAATTTGTAATGCCAGGCTTAAAACTTCTTCAGAAGTTTGGGGGTTGGGGAAGGGAAAGGAATTTATTTTAGAATTCCGTTTCCTTGTGGCATCAACAAATGATAAGCGAAATAGAGAAGCAGCAGCAAGGACCAGGAAAAGGAGAGAGTGTCTGTAACGAGAACCCATAACCTCTAATAAGAGTCCCTGGCTCCCGCTTGGGGACCCTGGTACCCCTTGAGTTGTGCTTCAAGACACTTCGTGGCTTCTAGGCTGGGGACGTGCTCTAACCGTCCTGCCTCGACTCCCGTATCCACTCACTTCACAAATACCACTGGCGAGGCTGCTGTGTGCAGAAGCTTTCCCCAGGGAACACATTTGGGCTGGAGCACCCAGGCCAGCCCTGCAGAAGCTCCAATCTGTTATCAGAGTGAGAACACTATGTCCTAATTCAAGAGGCTTAAAAGGCCTGTACCAAGTATACTGGCATTTGGGAAACTTCTGGGAAGGGGCTCAGAAAAGTTCTGAGCAGATTGCTGGCCAGGCCAAAGTCAGGGCCCTCTGAGGACCTCTCCCCTGGTCCGTGAGGTTCCTTGCTCACCCTGTAGGACTGATTGAAAACCCCCGGTGGTGGTGGGGGGTGGGGGAGGTGGTGCATCTAAGGGCAAAGAAATAACAGAGAAGGAGCCCTGAGAAATTGCCTCCAGGCCATCCTGGCCCCAGGAATTCCAGAATGAGAGAAGGTGGTAGCAGCTGTGGCCAGCCATGGGCCCAAAGGAGAAGAGAGTAGGTGGCAGTGGGGAGGGGACCCTGAATCTCAGGGGGCCTGCCCTCAGGCATGAGTTAACCCTGGGGCCAGATTAAGTCTGGAGGCCAAGTTGGTGTCAGTCCCTTCTGCAGTAGCCTGACCACGGGCACCGGGCTGGGTGTGACCAGAAGGCCACTTAGCATACCTGAATCACCACTGGCGACACATCCCATCCAGGCCAAGGAGAGGCCTGCCGAGGATCTCTCCATGCCCTGTGTATACAGCTGTCAGATAAAAGCACGGACTCTGCAGCTGGAAGCTGAGAGGCTGTGGCCGCCATGCCCCAGGAGGCTTCCCATCCAGAAGGAGCCTGGCACCCTCTCTGCGGGCAGCACAACTGTGCAGTGTCTTCTTAGCAAGCTGAGTAGCTCTGCAGGCGGGGGAAAGCCCAGTCCAAGGACCCCCACAAGCCAAGTGGGTGCCATTCCCACGGATCACAATACCAGCAGGGTCTCTGGGGCAGGGCAAAGCTGTGGGCCTGGCCAGGTGGAGGGGGCGGGGGAAGGTTAATATGGGCATGGGGTGGGGGATCACAGAGCTAATCAACGGGAAGCCTGTCTGTCCAGCTGCAAGTCTAATTCTCATCGTCGTCCTCTGTCGCCGTGAGTTCATCTGCAGCGTCCAGGATCGAACTCGAAACCCACCCCGGCTGCCGCAAGTGCAAGGAGTCCCGGAAAGAAAGAAAGCGGTGTGCGGGATGGTTTCAGCAAGGACGGGAAGCCCGGTGGTGTCCCCTTCACTTCCAGAAGGACCCCCGGGTTAAGCAAGTTGGGAAGGAGCCCCTCCCCCCCACACACCATAGCTCAGGGACAGCGAGAGGCTAGTGTCTGCGGGGAAGGAGTCGTTACTGACTAGAAGAAATGGGGCCACGAGCTCAGGTCCGGAGCAACAAGATGTTCTCCTAGAGAGCTGCTCCGCGTGATTCAGGCCCCTCCCCGCCCTGAGAAGACCAGGCCACCATACCCGCTCGCCTCCTGACAACCAGCCAGCAAGGTAACGCTGGGTCGTGGCCCTAGGTTCTAGTGTGTTCCGTGAAGGCAGGCTTCCTGTGTGTCCAGGGGCACGGCCACGCCCTCTCGGGGGGCCTCGCGGCTGCAGCAGGGCTGAGGACCCGTTCAGGAGCAGTGCGGCTGACTACGGCCCTGAGCTCAGGCTGTGCTCTGCACACGTGGACTAACGTTGGACTAGTTCTGCCTCGGGCTGAGTTTAGGTATCTTTAACAAAATTTCTTTTCCTCCATGGGCTAGATTTGGGATGTTAGAGTGAGCTCATGGGTACTCCGAGAAAACAACCTAGAAGAATCTTCAGTCTCTTGGAACGTCGGAACGGCGGATTGCGACGGTCCCCCACGGGCACTTAGCGCCACCTGGTGGTCCTTCTGGTCACACGCAGGTGAGCGTAATCCCACGCCGGCAGGAAAGAGGAAGAGGACTTTGGCCTTGGGCCGGAACTACGGCCTCGTCCCAAGCTCACCACGCTCCACCAGCTCAAACAAAATCATCTCGGCCAGAACAAACGGAAAACTGATAACGCGCAGAACCCTGTGGCATTTCACTCACTTTTTACATGTCTTCGCTGGAACCTTCGCTCATTCATCCATTTCCCTGGGCCCCTGCTGGAAGCCGGGACGCAGCCCTGACCAAGTCATGGCCCTTGTCTTCGAGCTGCTCACAGAGCCCTGGCGGGGGGCAGACACAGACGAACCGTGCTGCAGGTCGTGGTAAGACGTCAGCGGCACAGGATACAGGCAGCAGGAGGAGGGTCCCTCAACCTTCCGAGGGGGCACACGTGGGGACACTCCTGGGAGGGTAAACACATGGTCTTAGTCCTTAGAGGCTGAATGGGATCCGGTCAAGGGCAGGATGGCGGTCGGGCATTCTAGGCATCGACAGCCAGAGAACAAAGTTTTCCCTTAAGACCTGAGGCTCCCCAGGGGGCAGGCACATGCAGGATGGGGCAGGAGGCCTGAGGAAGGCTTCTGGACCTCACAGAGCTGCCACCTCGGCCACTGAAGCTTGTTTTGTGCCCTGGCGGGTGGCCGGAAAGCCCAGCTTCTAGTTCTTGAAGGAATCCACAGTCGGACGTTCAAGGTTATCTTCAAATAGGAGTCAACATTCAAAGGACATACTGGCAAGGGAAAAAAAGGGGGAGGGCAGCTGAAGAAAATAATATATGTTAATAAAAAAAAGAAAGAAAGAAATGCATGTTGTACTATAAAAAAATGGGGGATAGTCATGAAACTACTTTGGACCTGTGTCCTATCACCAGGTCACACCATTTGGAATATACTATATTATTTTTTAATTCTACAGTTATAACTAGCACAACTGGAAAGCATTACATTTTTCACATTTAAAGCATTAATACTGGGTGCCTGGGTGGCTTCAGTCAATTAAGCGTCTGCCTTCAGCTCAGGTCATGATTCCAGGGTCCTGGGATCGAGCCCCGTGTCTGGCTCCCTGCTCAGCAGGGGTCTGCTTCTCCCTCTCCCTCTGCTTCTCCCCCCTGCTCATGCTCTCTCTCTCTCTCTTTCTCTCAAATAATAAATAAAATCATTTTTTAAAATCATCGCTTTTAAAAAAATAAAGCATTAATACTGTGAAAAGCAAACATGTACAATGCATCATAACCTTATAACTCGACCTTGAAATGTCTTTGGTTTTTAGTACGTCAAAAAATAAACTAAGGAAGGGGCCCGGGCCTCTCTCAACTTATGGAAAGATCTAGAAAGTTCTGGGGAAGGAAGGAATGGAAGAGAACCAAAAGAAGGCAGAAGCCGGGAGCTGCTGTGGTAGTTGAGACCTTAGCTGCTGAAACCCGGCCCAGTCTGGGTCCATGTGGAACGAGAGGAGGAATACTACTGAGGCTTCAAATCTGGCAGGATTTGCTGATTATTCTGTGAAAAGAAAAAAAAAATTGTTAATAATCCCTTGTGCCTGCTAATGAGGGCAGATCCTGGTAACTAGAGGACCTTTTGTTTGGAGAGCAGAAAGTCAACATCCTTGGTCTGCTGGCTTTTGGCCAAATCACAAGCAGTCTCTGGCGTGGGAGGCAAGGCACTAAGAATTTGCAGAAGTAGGAGGAACCAAACTACTCAATCAGGAGGGGATAAGGGGTGTGGGACATTCCTGAGGCTGCAGGAGCCAGCGGTCCTGGGGGCCACCACGGAGGGTCTCCAACAGACAGGGCTCTGGGGACTTCATGGCCCAAAAGCGACCTGGAAGACATTTGGATCGGGCAGCCAAAAAGCCCCTTTGCTTTTTTTAGCATCAAAACTTTAACCTCTGAAACCCAAGAAAAACTGAGCAAGGTGACTTGTTCAGACCATCTCTGCTCTGGAAAAGCGCTTCACAGCATGCTACCCATCACAGTCTAGCCACAGACGGGGTGGACATAAGCCATGCCGAGACCCTGGGGTATTCCAAGATCAGCCCCGACAGGTCATGGGAGGCAGGGCATAAAAACCGCCCATTGCCTACTGGGCAGCTCCAGCTAGAGACCAGCCACCTGGGCAGGCTGCAGAAGGAGAGCCCTCATCTGTGCCCACGAAGCTCTGCTCACCATCAGTCTCCTGAGATTTGCTACAAGAGCAACATGTAGGACGCCTGGGTGGCTCAGTTCCTTAAGTGTCTGCCTTCAGCTCAGGTCATGGTCTCAGAGTCCTGGGATCGAGTCCTGTATCGGGTGCCTTGTTCAGTGGGGAGCCTGCTTCTCCCTCTGCCCCCTCCCCCCTGCTCGTCCTCTATCTCCATCTCTCTCTCTCACAAAGACAAAAATAAATAAATAAAAATCTTAACTACAACAACAACAAAAAAAAGACAGCAAGGTCTAACAACGACGGCTCAGGCCATGTCTTGCTTGAACAGTGGCCGCGAGGCCCTACAGCTCAAGGGGCAGGGCCTGGTCTTGTAAAGCAGCTCACTCTTTGGCTTTAGCTTTGTCTAGAAGCCTCGCAAATTGTTTAGCAAGGGAAAGCCAGGCCCAAATATATAACCAAAGGCCACTGGGTCAGCCGCTGAGTTGCCTGTCCGACTTGTCGGGTGGCATATTGGGTGGAGATCGCATTGGTCTCTAAAATGCGTCTTTAGGAAGGCTTCCTGGAGGAGGAACATACACCCAGTTATCTGTGTTTGCTGGACGACACCAAAGACCACTTATTACTGCCCTCAACTCGGATCTTTTTTTTTTTTTTTTTTTTTAAAGATTTTATTTGTTTATTTGACAGACAGGGATCACAAGTAGGCAGAGAGGCAGGCAGAGAGAGAGAGGAGGAAGCAGGCTCCCCGCTGAGCAGAGAGCCCGATGCGGGGCTCGATCCCAGGACCCTGAGATCATGACCTGAGCCGAAGGCAGCGGCTTAACCCACTGAGCCACCCAGGCGCCCCTCAACTCGGATCTTTAAGCCACAGAAATACTTATGACCCTGCAGAGGGAAAAGCCCTAGCATTTTCTGGTCGTTGGGGGACCATCGATTCAGATATTGCTGAATAAGAGGTGACACCCACCTGCACAGCCAGAAGCCCTCCCCCCCTCCCTCTGTTAGAGACCTGGCCTGCCCGGAGCCCTCTTCCTCTTCTCTCTACCCTCTTCAACCTCTCACTTACATTTGCTTGTCCGGCACTCATTTATCGGGGTGCCTACCTTGTAAGGGGCATTCCATCTGGCCACAGGAGCAGTGAATATCGATGAAATCAGTCTTGCCTTCCACCTGCTTGCAGGGCGACGGTAGAGACAGGAAGCAAGAGAATTTCAACCTTCAGGAAACAGGTGGGGGTGGGGTGTAGGGCAGATTCCTGCAGGGATGAAAAGTATTCAACAGCACCAAAGGGAGAAAAGAGCATTCCAATCTGCGAATCGACTTCCAACTCTTTAATAACATAAACCCCTGCAGGCGCTTTTAAAACTTGGTCATAAAATTCTTTGGTACTCTTCTCGCGGAGACGTGGGTCTGTGTCCCCTCGTCTTGAGTCTGGGTTCTATCGCTGTTCAGCTAATGACAGTTTCCGTCTCTTCCTGAATCGTGGAGTGCTCACTCTTGAACCCAGCTTCCAGAGCAGAAGGGAACCACCCCGACAACATACACACACACAAAAGCCTGTGTAAAGAGCCCACAGGACAGAGTAGGTATTGTCACCAAAAATCCCAGCTGATGTCCCAGCCAAGTCCCATCAACTTCCCGACGTGAGTGAGCGAGCTTGCAGAAGCTACCCACACTGGCCAGCGTCAGAAAGCCGCAGGCCTGGAAAGGTATTCCTTTAGGAACCTTAGAAGAGAATTGTTGCGAGCACTTTCACATGCTGCTGATAAAACGGTAAATTGACTGAGGATAGCTAAGAGATAACTGGGAAATAGAAATCAAGATCTCTAAAAATGATCCTGGGCAGGTGAATAGTTCTAAGAGATGGCAAATCAGTAAACCGTGATTGTAGAACTTGGGGCGGGGTGTGTGTGTGTGTGTGTGTGTGAATGTTTACTGAAAAAATCTTCCGATATTTCTAGGTGTTTGACATTTTTAATAATAACACATGGGGAGGGAGAGGGGCTTGTGGGTCACTAAAAGGGAAGCCTAAGGAAGTAGTCAAGAGATGTGATTTTTAAAAACTGATATTCCCTTGCACTGTTGGTGGGAATGCAAACTGGTGCAGCCACTGTGGAAAAGAATGTGGAGGTTCCTCAAAAAGTTGAAAATAGAGCTGCCCTATAATCCAGTAATTGCACCATGAGGTTTTTTACCCAAAAAATACAAAAAAAAAAAACCCACAAATGCAAAGGGATACATGCACTCCGATGTTGATAACAGCATTATTTATAATAGCCCCATTATAGAAGCAACCCAAGTGTCCATGGACAGATGAGTGACTAAAGAAGGCATGATATAGGGGCACCTGGGTGGCTCAGTGGGTTAAAGCCTCTGCCTTCCGCCCAGTGGTGGTCGCAGGGTCCTGAGATCAAGCTCTGCCTCGGGCTCTCTGCTTGGCAGGGAGCTGGCTTCCTCCTCTCTCTCTCTCTCTCTGCCTGCCTCTCTGCCTACTTGTGATCTCTATCTATAATATAAATAAATAAAATCTTTTTAAAAAATTTCTTTAAAAAAAGAAGGCGTGATATATCTATTCAATGGAATATTACTCAGCCACAAAAAGAACAAAGTCTTACCACTTGCAACAACATGGATGGCGCTAGAGAGTACTGTGCAAAACAGAATAAATCAACCAGAAAGAGACAAATCCTGTATGATTACACTCATATGTGGAACCGAAGAAACAAAACAAACAAGCCAAGGGAATAAAGGAGAAAGACAAGCCAAGAAACAGACTCTAATCTGCTGAAAACAAACAGACGGTTCCCTGAGGGGAGGTGGGTGGGGGAGGGGGGAAACGGGACGGGAATGAAGGAGCGCCCTTGTCCGATGGGCACTGGGGGATGTATGGAAATGCCGAATCACGATATTGTACTCCTGAAACTAATATAACACTCTATGTTAACTACATCAGAATAAAAATTAAAACTTAAAAATGAATTAAAAAATAAAAATTAAAAATAATGAAATAATTTTTTTAATAAAATAAATGGATATTCCAGGATGTCTGCAGTGGACACCAATGGCCTCTCCTCTTTGTCTGGACACCGCCTGTCTTTCTCCATCCCAGGGTTGGGGGGCTGGTCTCTTCAGTCATGCGTCGGCAACCCAGTTCCATCCCACAGGCATCAGGGATGGGACTGGGCACATGACCTGCACCTATCAAGATTCTGTCCCCGCGAAGTTGGGATTTGACATATAAATCTGAGTTTATTTAAATCTTGTCCCCAAGAAAGATATGTTGAAGTCCTAACCCCAGCTACCTCAGAACATGAACTTATTTGGAAATAGGGTCTTTGCAGATATGATTAGTTCAGATGAGACCATACTGGGGTACAGTGGGTCCTTAATGCAATACAACTGGAGTCCTTTCAAGAAAACGAGATACACAGGGTGTCTGGGGGGCTCAGCCAGCTCAGCGTCTGCCTTTGGCTCAGGTCATGATCTTCGGGTCCTGGGATCCAGCTCCCTGTTCACCAGGAAGTCTGCTTCTCCCTCTCCCTCTGCTCCCCTCTTCTCCCCAGCTCATGCCCTCTTCCTCAAATAAATAACAAAATATTTAAGAAACAAAGGAAGAAGAGATGCACAGACTTGGGGAGAAGGCCGTGTGAGCGGAGAGGCAGAGGTGGGAGTGATGCGTGGACCATGTAGGAGCCCCAGGAAGCCGCCAGAAGCCGGAAGAGGCAAGGGAGGATGCGCCTGCGGGTCTCAGATTTCAGACCTCTGGTCCCCAGGACTGTGAGATGATGCGTTTCTGCTGCCTTCTGTGGGGTAGCCCTAGCGACTACTGCGGTGGCCACCTTCCACATCCCCGTCCTCCAGCCACTGGGGCAATGCCTGAGCTCACCCTTCAGTGCCCTACTCCTTTTAAGCCAGATGTGATTCTAAGCAGGTACGGATACCGAATACCGTGGTCAGAGCAGCCCCTCCTGTAGCAGGGGAAGTAAAAGAGAAGCCAACAAAATGGCCCACCGAGAGGACCAGGGAAATAAGTGGTGGGACATGCACAAGAGAGGCCACCCAAAATCACGACATTGACGCTTATGGACCCCTGTGCTTTACACACATTTCGCCTGGAATAGGAGGCCTTTGCGGATTTGACCCCCGTCACCTGCAGGGGGCGCGCTCATCTCCCTGCGCTCCAGGTTCGGGGGCAATGCCTGCCTTCTCCGCCAGGCGGCACCGGCGGCCACACCGACACCTGTAGGCAAGGACGGCGAGGTTTGGGTGGTTCCCGCTGGAACGCGGACCAGCCTCTCCAGGCCCTGGGGACAGGCTCTTCTCAGAACGGCGGCCCTCCAGGACCCGTGGCTCTCTGTCCCAATTTGCCTGATGCTCTTGGAGAGACAGAGGCGAAATGGGTCCTCCCTGCGAGCACCCGCTGTTCTCCCAGGCTGCCCGATGCACGCCGGCTCCCCAGAGGGGCGCCTGCGGAGAACACTGTGCCCCTGGACGCTTCCAGAAATACACCAGGATGAGGGTCACTCGCTTCTTTTTGCACTAAAATAAAACACATATCAGGAGCCTAATGATGTCAGGTACCGGGCCACACACCATCACTGACCCGGTGGGACTCTCCGCCAGCAGAGAAGCAGAGAACAAAACAGTACATTATACTGATCCAGAGAACCCCCACACCCCAGGGTGAGCCCGCAGGAACACCTTCTTCTTGCATGTGATTATGTTGCTAACGTTCACGAAATAACATTTACACTTGAACGATTTTCACGTGTTCAAGTCAGTGGCATTAAGCACATTCACACTGCTGTGCCGCCATAACCACCAGCCACGTCCAGAACTTTCTCATCTTCCCCAAACAAGAAGTCTGTCCCCATTAAACGTCAGTTCCCCGTCGCTCCCTCCCCCAGCCTCTGGAAACTTCTATTCTACTTCTTGTCTTTATAGATTTGACTAATCTAGGTGTTTCATAGAAGTGGAAGCATATAATATGTGTGCTTTTGTGTCTGGTGTATTTAATACATATACCGTATATATGTTAGCATATATGCTTCCAAGATTCAGCTATATTATAGCATGTTTCAGAAATGCATCCCTTTGTAAGGCTGAATAATACTCCCATGTAGGGATATACCACATCTGGTGTATCCATTCATCTACCGGTGGACACGTGAGGAGTTCCCACCTTTTGAGTCCCGAGAATAATGTTGCAATGAACGTCAGTGTATCTTGTGTAAGTCCCAGCTTCCAACTTTTTTTTTTTTTTTTTTTTTTTTACAGAGAGAGAGAAAGTGCAGGGGAGGGGCAGAGGGAGAGGGAGAGAATCTCAAGCAGGCTCCTTGCCCAGCCTGGCTCCTGACATGGGGCTCAATCTCACGACCCTGAGATCATGACCTGAGCCCCAGTCAAGAGTCAGACACTTCACTGACTGAGCCACCCCGGCACCCCCCCCCCCAAGCGCCAGCTTTCAGTTCTTCAGGGTATCTACTTAGGAAGAAAATTGCCGGATCATGTGGTATATCTGTAGACAGTCTTTGGAACCTCCCACTGCTTCCACCAGCAGAGCACGAAGGTTCTAGTTTCTCCCCATCCTTGCCAACTCCGGATATTTTCCGTTTTTTAAATTGTTGCCATCTTAATGGGTCTGCAGTGAAGAATAATTTCTGAGCCGAGTTAGTCTGGAGGAATGCATAGAACGGCCAAGAAACAAGGGGAGAAGGAAGCCCCAGCAGAGCTAGCCGTACCTACAATGTCAGGAAGGTATGAGAGTTCTGGAATGCCAAGGAGAGTGGAAGAGTGGGGGAGCCAGGGATGAGGCCAGACGCCGTGGGCCATGGAGGCGGTGCGCAGGGGACCAGACTCTCCTGGATCAGCGGGTGCCCCGGGGGAGAGGCAGGGTAGCATGGAGTGTGGCCTGGAGGCAGACAGGTCTTGGGGGGGGGGGATATCTCTACTCTGCTTCACACCTGTGTGTCCTCAAGGCAAGTCATTCAAGCTTCCCGATTCGGTCCCATGACTGAGAACTGGGACCCCACCATTCTTCAGCACAAGACTGCTGCCAGGCTTCACTGGAATGATCCAGGTGAGCTCTCCACACAGCCTCC